GAAGCGCCGATTGACACAAACTACCTAGACTTTCCACTGCCAGGAAACCAGGCTCCCAGTAGAAAATACCTGCGCCCAAGTTATGTGGAAGACCTTCCAACACGTTCGTGCCAGCAGTCACCCACTGCGTTTGCCCCGCAGGACTGACCGTGAAGTTCTCACTCAGAGTGACATTCTCACATGCCACGGGCCAGTCTGTCTCCACAACAAAGAGTGGTTTGTTGTAGTCCTTTGCAAACTGCGTTAACGACAAGTTGAGTGCTTCAATCGCAGCTTTTACGCTATAAAACGGGTAGAACGAGAACCCGAGAACATCGACGTCGTCGGGGGTCACCGTTCCAGTTGCAAAGCGATCGTTGAAATAAGTCGTGTGGTTCCACCCGTTGTCCACGTGGATCATGATTTCCGGTTTCTTGACGCCGGTGGCAACAGCATCCGTCATGCCCCCCACGGAACGCCTTCCAGAGCACTGCAAAATTGCTGTAATCTCCATCAATGACCTTGCCCATTGGCCAGAGAAATCCGTGCGTGATTTCATTGCCCAGCGACAAAATATCGATGTCGATGCCTGCATCTGAGAATGTCTTGAGCGTTGATGTCACGTACGACTTCAAGTCCGCCAATAGTGTGGCGATCGACGTGTTATTTCATGGTTCAGGGATAGCTTGTTTCGCTGGGTCAGTCCAGTTATTGGGAAAGTGCATGTTGAGATAGATCTTGCAGCCAGCCTTCGAGAACCGTTCAGCCATCGAAAGAGTGTAAGTCAAGTTATAGTCACCCGACGTCCACAGGCTAAAATAAAAAAAGCTGTGAGCATATCTGTGTTACTGGGGATAAAACAAAAGAAATGAACTCACCGTAGTCGAACAGAGTTTATGCCGCCACCACCGAGAATGGACTCGATTGTCGCCGGTCTGCCCGTAGTGAAACGCCATGTAGCTCCTCTGGAAGTCTCCATGATTCCGGCAGAGGGCAAGTCGTGGCCTTTGAGAAGTGCTGCAGCGGGGGTAAGCACTGTTCCGATGCAGACAGCGACGAAGGCGACTATCTTGAGAAATATGGTGGAGCTCACGGTGCTGTAAAGCTTGAGCGACTTGTGTTCGGGATTGGAAAATGAAAAATGAGCTTAGTTGCGAATGATACCCGGTTGCAAGTACGAAGGACGATGGATCCGCTTACGAATACAGAGAGGTTGTGGAGGTGCAGTATTCATTTTCGACAATGATAACCTGCGTTTTATTGGGCTGTTATCACAATTGCATAAAAGGAGCAACAGTATTGTGGTGGGAAAATGACTCTATAGGTGCATTTTTGCATTTTTAATGCAAAGCGGTAGTGTGGATCAGTAGTGGTCAACAGCTGAACATTTTCAGTTTTTGCGGTGTACTAATAATGAGAAATAAGTTGTCTAAACCGGTGTAAGGAAAAAATGAGCAGCTGAGAATTGTACAAACAGAACTGTATTAGTAACTACCCTAGATGGGAAATTCACTCCGGCAGCACTACAAGCTACTATATCAACGCGCACACTATTTCCATCACACTAGGATGCCATTAATTAAAGCGTACAACTACAACCGCGGTTCCTGAACCGATAGTCGGAATGGCGCGGCCGCCGTCAACGCGCTTTTGGACTCCACGTCTGTAGGTCTCTATGAATTTTGAAACTATGCGGAGCAGCAAATAGTTGCCTAAGCTTACCGTAGCCCTTAGAGCTATGTGTATACTGGAGTACATGTGCAGAATTGTGCTCTGTGACTGTACACCATTTCTAAAAACACATGGTTAGTAACGAGAAGAGGGAGTCGTCCTCCTACCGATTCAGCATTAAAAATGCAAAAGCACACCGATCGAGTCATTTTCTCTTATTGTATTTACGTTTTGACTCCGAATAATCAGCCGAAACTCCAACATGGAGCCTCAAGCAATGCACATTACGTAAGCTTTCTGGTAGTTTTGCAATTTCCAGGTATATGGTGCCCCGTTGCATCAAAGCTCAGCAAACCAACTCAATTTT